AATAATGCAACCAATGTCATCGGGAATCATGCGTCCATTGTCATCAGGAATCATGCAACCAGTGTCATCAGGAATCATGCGTCCAGTGCCATCAGGAATCGTGCAGCCAATGTCATCAGGAATCATGCGTCCAGTGTCATCGGGAATCGTGCAACCAATGTCACCAGGAATCATGCGTCCGGTGTCATCGGGAATCGTGCAACCAATGTCATCGGGAATTATACGTCCACTATCGTTGGGAACTATGCATCCAGCGTCATCAGGGATCATGCATCCAGTGTCATCGGTTCCGCTTGCTTTGCTTTTTCCGAATGGTTCTGTGAGTGCACCTACAACACCAGTTGCCACTGAATCCATGCGTAACATCAATCGTCAGGTTTATTTTTGAGTTCTATTATTTTTTAAATGGATCGTTTAGGGGAGAGAATCCCAGGTTTGTATGCCTTTTATCATTTGGGAATGTTATATTGTTCGAGTGACTGAGATGCTATGCAGATATCGAAGGTTTTATTGGGCAATGCTAAAATTTTAATTTTGGATGGTGCTATGAATTTTAATTGTCGAAGATAGTTTTTTATGATCCGAATCTATTATTTTCAGATGTCAAAACGACACCAACCCGGCAAACACAATGGTCTGTCATGTGCACAAAGCGGTAATTTGAAGAATTCAGAACACTGGCTGAAATTCGAGCCAGTTGCTTCTTCACCAGCTACAGATACATCAGTAGCGAGAAATTCTAAACATGTAACACCGTCTATACCAACGCAGGTCTATGTGCCCGCTTCCATGGCAGCAACTCCGTGCTTCTCTTCGAGTGCACCAGCAGCCAGTAACATGATTCGATCACAGATACCTTCAAAAGATATATCATCAGTTAAAAGTACCTCCCAGAAACGACCATTTTCTCTTGATATGACGCCGAAGAGAAAAACAGATAGAAGTAATTTTTCCTGCGGATACTTAGATATATTGTTGTGTGTTTTCTTCTCTACGATTTTTCAGTACGAAGAATCTCGTTGATCTTAATGCGTGCTTTTATTTTTTTCTTCAGGGATAGAGGAGGATTTTAATCTATTTTCCCCAAGTGTCTCTTTTTATTCGCATCTTAAAATATTTAAAATAAGGGGAGAATGCTTCAAGGTTGTTGTAGGATGCGGAGTACGTAAGATATATTGTTGCTGCCCTTTTTGTTTTGTATTCGTAAATTTGTTGTTTTGGCAGCAGTAAAAAATGCGTTTTTTCGAGGAAGCGCTTACCGGTTTTCATCTTATTTGATGAGCTCATCATGGAAAGTTTCATTGGTTAATACTTGAATACTGAAAAAATTTGAAGGGTTAGCACAACAGTTTCGACGACAACAACAACAGGATAATGTCAACTTTGCGGGCGCAAAATTCAGTGAATCACCTCAAGCAAAAGTTGTACCGTTGCCACCTTTTATATGGTGTGAAGAAGAAGTATCATCGTCATCATCGTGTTCTGGTTAGAGTTTTAGTGAAAGTTGGTATTGTGTGAGGTGTGGAAATCATGCTCTTCTATGCCTTCATAAGCGAGCACGCGGAGCTATTGACTATGACTGAATTCTCCAAAAATAGTGGGTACAATTTTCATTTCCAACAATAGATTTCAAGATGTTTGAGAAGTATGATCACTTTCAATTTACAAAGCATTGTAGGTGTTCAATTACAAGACTCGTTTCCAAATAGGCTGCCTGAATAGTGACTTGAAATGATTTTTATTCTGCAAGATATTTCAATTATTACAATTTCAGGTGATGAACAGTCTATACCATCGATTACAGAAGTGGAGATGGCACAGCATGGAAAGTTTTATGAAACATCGAAACGGAATAAATGGAGTCGCAGCTTGCAAATGACACCGTTGCACTGTATTGCTGTGTTGCCGAATTCTTAATTCGTTGAAAGGAGTGACTGCAAGTTCTCTTTTGAATTTACTGCGGGTATTTCAGGCATGTAAATGGTGCAAGTTTAGCACGCAGTATTTTTTTTACAAGTTTTTAATTTTTTAGTACTTCGTTTTCCTAGCACCTTGTTCATTTTTCTCCACGTTTGTAAAGACTCGGTTTATTGTTCGTGTGGAAATGAGCATAGGAGAAGATGGGTTACGAGAATCTTATATTGCCATAAGTTTGGTAATTTAATATAAATTTTGAGCGTGGAAACATCTCCCATTTTATGTTTTTTAAAGTTTTCATTTAAAGCTTTCCTAAGTCATGGATTTTTCTCGTTCTTCTGCATCTTGCCGTCGTTGGCTAATGCGATATGATTTGTATGTCGTGCAGTTTTTTATAATGTTTAAGTAGTTCGCTTCCTGCACTTATCAAATTACTCTTGTGATTTTCTATTTTTATTTTCATTTTATTGATACTCCTATTTTTCTGTCAATATAACTTTTGAAATTTGTTTAACGGATCTTTAGCGATTTCTGTTTTCCTTTAATTTTACTGCCTTTTTCTGCTTCACTTTGTTTGTATATAGTATCAATATGTGTCAAATATCATAACATTCAGTTGGTGTGTTACAAAGACATTTACATTAAGAACCTCTCGTAGAGGAGGTTTTAGTGTCATTTGTCTTTGTCTGCTTACTTCCAAAGTTATTGAAAGTTGACAGTCTCTAATAGTTCGTGACGAAATATTTGGTGCTACTAAATGTAAAAAAGATTAGAAGGTGACAATAAATTAGACAGCTCCTAATCTTTTCTGATCCGTACGTTAAAAATTTAATTAGTGCTACCATAGTGTACATTTTCTCGCACACTTCGAACTTTTTTGTGAACATACTGTTGTTCATTTCTAAAGTAATGGGGTTTTCTTCCTTCATATTATTTTGTAAATCTAGAAGTTATAACATTCGGCTTATGGAGAGTTCTTCGAACTTTTGGGCAGATGTTGCTGTTTGTTTTTTGTCTGGATCAGTTGCCGCGAATTTTTATGGCTTGTGCCGTGGTTTGTAGATTAAATTTTCTTTATTTTTAGATTTAATTTTCCTTATTTTTCCATTGTAGAGACAATTTGGCTCCTTTAAAGTGATTTTAACAATTTTATACTCATAATATTGTAAAAATTTATCTAGTAATGCAAAAGTATTTGCCTCTCTTTCCACTCCATTCTGGAAGTAACTCAGTCTTATGTTAACTACGGCAATGCACTTCTTTCATCTCAGATGTTCGCATTCGTTAAGACAAAAACTAGTCGGAGGAGGCCAGATAGGGTCAGCAAAAATATCGTCATTGGGAGGTTTAGTAAACATTTCGTGCATTGCTGTCTTTCCTTTCTTTGCAGCGTTTTGGAAGGTTGTCCTTTTCGGGTATCGCTTGCTAATAACAATTATATTTACATTCATATTTGCAGTGTATTACGATAGCGTGTTGTTCTGTTGTTTACTGTCAGAAACAGCTTTTGATTATTGTATGTTCTTTCTAACGGACCATTTGAAATTGCGTAAGTTCGATAATTTAATTATACTGGGTCTCTCAGAATGTTTCATATCAATTTTTAGGTTGTAACTGAGCTTACTTACCAGGCAGTTGGAGTTGGCGCTTCTCGTTTTTTTTGGTGCCTAAACATTTTCCTACAAAAACAATTATTTCTGGTTGGATTTTTGCTTTTTTTTCCAATTTCCACCTGTTTTGCTCTTGATTAAGATATACTGTTGTGCGGCCCTATGATTTCCAATAATCCATCAGATTCGCTACACTTTAAAGTTCACTGCAAAATTTTTCTGACAGTATGTAGCCCATTACAATTATATCTTCACTGCATCTGCAGAATGCATTATGTTATAGACAACTTTCCAGCTGATCTCGCCGAACTACTACTATCGAAATTATGTATTTAGTATTGTGTATATGGTTTGTGTGTGACAGAAGTTTGGCTGAGGACATATCTTTTTGACTGGATTCCTTATT